CATTTGATTGGTTAATTATCACGGGAAATCACGGGTAGATCTACAAAAATCAACCAATCATATAAATGTCTTCCTATGAAGCTCTGCGGTATCCCTAGGAAGTGATTGGCTGATGTAAATCAATTGCCCGGGTAACTTATTTATACAGTTTAAAGTACTTTTTGAGAACGTTTCACTAACAAAACATTTCTAGCTTCGAGAGAACGTCGTGCAAAAATAATCAAAAATAATCAGTAACCTCAAGAACTTCACTTAAAAGCGAATATATCTCGTTACAAGTACTGAATGCAAAAAAAAAAAAAGTAATAAACGAACGATCAAGACGTTTAAGGTAAATTTAGAATCTAAAAAAACTTACGTATAGGCTTTTAACTTATCGTATTTTAAGTTCAACATACTTTTTATACATATAAATATGATATGTACGTGTAGTATTAATTAATAAATATAGACCGAAGACAGTAGTGAAATGGTGTTATTGTTTAAGAATTTACGTTAATAGTGAAATTTCCCTTTTGATGGGACGAGTAATAACCAGAGAAATATATGTGATATTGCTTAGTTTATAATGTATCTTGGGTAATACAGTAGCAACTTGAGCAAAAGAAATAATAATTAAAAATAGGATTTCTACTTGAATAAATAATTAATAAAAGGATAGTATATAAGTTTCGCTGGTATAAAGTTTCGTTTACTTTGTGAATTCGCTGATCTGATTGCAGATAGATCTATAAAAATCAACCAATCATATGAACGTCTTTCTATGACTGCGGTATTCCAGTTGTCTCAGAATTTTCCAATCCTTAATCTTTAACAGACGGTCTATCGCTATCGCTATATTTGTAAGCAAGGTTTGGATTTGGGACGATTTTGGAATCGAATTTTCGGGACCAATGAATTTTAAATCAAAATCAGATTACAAGAAAAATTTTTTCATATGAAACTACATAGGAATTTCTGAATTTTGATTGGCTAAAAATTTTTTAACTAATCAGATTTGCAGGGTCCTAGGCACTTTATCACATGACTTCATTAGTCAAGTTTAGTCATAACCTACAAATTTTTTTAGCACTCTCGAATCGATACTTTCAAAGTAACTCTTATCACTTAATGCTTAATTCTAAAGGTTTTTCGCCAAGACTCTACAACAAGTCAAAAATATGGCGTACACAATTACACCACAGTTACGAGATAAAATTAACCATTTTGCACGATTTCCTCAAACTGGCGTGTCTTTGAGGCAGATGGTCATGTTTGGTGCGCGTCTAATTTCACTTGGAATTTTATTGCCTTTCGAATAACGTGCTAATTTTCTATTTTACACGCTTAGGGCAAACTCCTTCCCAAGGAACATTGCTGAGGGCAACTCAGTTTTTGGCAGGTACAGTACATTTTAATTTTTTTTTTACAATTCTCAAGTAAAATTAATTCTGTATATTTGATATATAGATGAGCTCCCGATTCGCATCGCACATCGAATTCAAGAGTTAGAAAATTTACCTCATAATTTGAGTGAAATGAAATCAATAATCAAAGTAAAAAACTGGTATGCGCAATCTTTTGAGGTATGAATTGTTCATAATTGATTTATAGTAAATTTGAAAATATTTTACAATTTTTTTTTTCTTGAAAGTACTTTATATATTAAATTTACATGATATTTTTAGGAACTTATAAATTTTCCTAAAATTGAACTTCCTTCAAGCATAAGGAATAAAATTTCATCAGGCTCTATCATTCATAAGTTACCAGATAGTGTTCCTCATCCGGCTAATAACCCAAGCTACTCTGGAATGTTAAAACCATCTATTCCAATTTCTCGCAGGTATATTAAAATTAATGAATATTTCTTATTAATTTGGTATTATACTAATTAGAATGTAATGACGCGTTCTTTTTGAAGGTATTATATGAAGGTCGATGATGTTGACTGGCCGCCTGAAGTTCAATATTATAACGAAAAATTTACTAAGTTAATTCAAACGATCAAGGAACGACATAGTTCTGTTGTTTCTACAGTGGTATGTATATTACACATCAAGTATTTACTCGATACGTGAAAATGTAGCTGATTTTTTAAAACCCTCAACTTAGGGTAAGGCTTTTTCTGATCATAAAAGCGCTTAATTGATTTTATATGATATTTTAAAGTGAATCATAATAATACATAATTTCAGCACAAGGCATTCAAGAATATAAGCGACATAAGACAAAAGCTGTAATAGATACGGACATTCAAGCTTTCTTGGACCGTTTCTATATGTCACGCATAGGAATTCGTATGCTTATTGGTCGGTTCTCTAATTACATTATGATTAAATAAAATTGTATAGAATCACCGTTTCTCACGAACTATATTTGCTATAAAATTTCAAACCATTAAAGGTCAACATGTCGCGTTGAACAAACTACCTTCTCGGCCGGATTATGTAGGTATTATTTGTACTAAAACAAATATTGCTCAAGCTGTCCAAGAAGCTGCCGATAATGCCAAGTTTATATGTGAAGAGCATTATGGCTTATTCCGTGCACCTGAAATCCAGTTACATTGTTCCAATGATTTGTTGTTTACGTATGTTCCGACGCACTTAAGCCATATGCTATTTGAACTACTAAAAAACAGTCTGCGTGCTGTGGTCGAAAAATTTGGTGAAATGGACGATTATCCACCAATCAAAGTGATTGTTGCTGAAGGAAAAGAGGTAGAGAAGTGGAAATATTTCAAGAGACTATAATATCTTTATTATTCTTGAAAAGAGTTTTAATATAGAAAAACAAAAACCAAACCCAAACAAAAAAAAAAAAATGCTTTTTAGGACATTACAATCAAAATATCTGATGAGGGTGGCGGTATACCAAGAAGTAATATTCGTTTGGTATGGACGTATATGTATACAACAGCCCGCACAGAACAACTAGACCCTGAATTCAATCAAACAGACTTTAAAGCACCAATGGCCGGATTGGGATATGGGTTGCCGATTAGCAGATTAGTACGTTGAAATTATTAATCATAACTAAGTATTTCATAATTTTCTAATACTAACTTCATACATAACCTTACTGCATAATAAAAAGTATGCTAGGTATTTTGGAGGTGATTTGAAACTTATTTCGATGGAAGGGTAATAATAATTATTTAACCTTATTGTCGCTAATAATGTTTTGAATTGAATATATGTTTAATTACTTTGGGTTGTATATTTTTTAGATACGGAACGGATGTTTATCTTCATTTAAATAGAATTTCAAATAGCGATGAACCTCTTCAATAATTTAATTGATTCAAGAATTTTAGCCTTACTTATAGTAATATATTTTACTAATTTTTGCAATAAAAAAAAATTATTATAATATAGACTAAATTTCATAACCTATACCCTTTTAAGTATATACATGAAATTAACTTTCTGTTTATTGTGTTTTTTTTTTTTTTTAAACTCGAACATGCGTAATAAAAGCGATATTTTGTATACGATCTTAGCTATTCGATTTGCTAATGATGAGATCGATCAATGTTATTCGCTAGCGTTAAGGCTCAATTATGATTCATCTATGGTATCATTTAGCGTTCTAATATTATTCGTCCCAACTTTTTGACCACAAACTATTGTTATTATCTGTAAATATTCATTTGGTACAAATTATACATACGTGCGTACGTAGGTTAATGACGCAAATTTAAAAATTATTATCGGGAATAACGGTGTTATTTTCGGAAGCGCATAGGGCGTTACTTCGAAGCTAATTATACTATTTTTTGGAGCAGTTTCGAAATAACGCTCATGTCCGCTATATTGAAGATTTACGTATATTGTAATTTAAAAGAAGAAATATTGTTTGTTATTCCATTTACTGATCAGAGAAAGATTTCCATTCGACGATACAATGCTCAATCTAGAGCCCCTAACCGAGTCAACCGCGTGCAGGGTTGGCAATGGAGCCCAATGAAGAGCACTGAATGGAACCAATGGATACTAGTTTTTTGAGTTCCATTGGCTCCATTTCCAACCTGACCGCGTAAACCGTTTGGTAGCATGGTAAACTGAATGAAAGCAGGTAACAACTAGATATCGATACGCACTGTACGTATATATAGGAATTTGCTAATTGTCCAGGTAAATTACTTATACAGTTTGTTTGGTGACTGTTAAAAATTTTTTTTTGGTGTAAATGTATCATCATTGCGCTTGCTCCCCTCAGCGACATCCGCAAATCGCTTGTGTAATCCACCACAGAACTAGCCTCAAAAGTGTGATCATAAAATTGATTATCATCGAATTTTCGTTTTCAATCGGCGCGTTAAGGGAAAAGGAAGTAGGGTAAGGGGATATGTTCGATTATATTCTACTAAACATGTGAATTTCTGATAGTCATACTTTATTGTTAGTAATACAACTTGACGTCAATCGTACACATTTGGTGAGGTACAAATCGATTTATTATCCGGAGCGAATTGGAGGACGGTTTTACAACAGTGATCGTCCGCTCACGTTAGACTGACTGATTGAATATAGAAAGTATAGATAGCAAATGGAAGGAAAAAAATAAATGCATCAAAAATCCTAAGTTTTTTTGAAAAATGTCTCCTACGTAATACATATTTAATGTCGGGAATTTAGTAATATATAAGTTATTTACTACTGTATTTATGTTCATTAATGTTCTTTTTTTTTTATTGTTCTAGGATCTGTATATCGATATTCTATCTTGTATGTTTTTTCAAGGCCTGGTGGTGGCGGTGGTTCAGTAACCTTAACAAGTAATAAAGTAGCAGCAGCCTATGAAAAATTCTGTCAGAATCATTGAAAATAATATAGCAAATATAAAGAGAATATAAAGTATTAAAATACCTGAGCAATACCGTAAAACAACATTCCAACCAATGGTAATCTTATTAAAAAATAATATCCAATAGAGAAACCAAATAATATTCCTTCTCTTTCCTTAAACCATTTTTTTTTAATTTCTTTATCAAATTTAATTCTTCCAAAATAAGGTTCTAATAATTCTCTCATCAAAGCTCTTGACGAATACAAAATTTCCAAAAATATCATAGCAAATGGCTTTGTACCTGGTGTTACATACATTAAAGTACCCACAATAAAGGCTGGTGTATAACCTAATGAATTTACTAAAGCGTAAGCACTCGCGATCGGATAAACTAACGCACCAATCAATGGTATTAATGAAAGGAAATACAACATCATTATCCAAGCGATTTGATTTCCAGTACGAATTAAATATTGTTTTAATTCATCCCAATAATTTATATTATACTCGTAACGTTCTAAGGCAGGAGTATACGGTGGCCTAAGGTCTTGTTCATTCGTATGTTTTTGAATATACGTAATGTCAACATAATGTAAAGATTCCATAAACACCGAGTCTAATGATTGTGGATACAAGTAACGCATAAGTAAAAGTCCTAAGAAAGGTAAATTCAATACATAATTTGTAACCCATAAGTAATTTTCGGTGAACTTAGAGTGATCGTATTTAAAAACAAAGGAAAAAAGATAAATTAAAAATTGTAATAATTTTAAAGGAATCGCTAAGAGAGTCGAGGTAATAAAATAGAGTGAAATGCTGACAACAGCCAAGAACAAATATATTTTCATAAACCCGTGTTTGTATAAATTTTGGTTTTGAAAAGCCAATACAGAACCTAACCAAGCAAGTTGGGCTCCACGTATTACTTGTGTCAGAGACCAAGTCATTTTAATAACAAAGAAGAGTGATATATTTTTTATATATTTATATACTGCAGTACTATGAAAATTTTATGATCATATGATTATATAACTGTATAATGATCTACAATTCTAAGATTTTGATATCGATATAGATTGTCAAATTTGCTAAGAATTATTTAATACTCCTCATCCTCGTAAAAGTTTTACGTCCAAGCCTAGTTCTTCTTTTATTAGGGATTGCCTCTTCTCTGTATCCTATATGTGGTTTAGGTGCTTCTTCTAACCCAAATAATTTAGGATCTTCTCTTATTGCATATTCATAGGCAACTCTTCTTTCACTTAACACATGTCTGATCCTCGCCATTGATTTTTGTGTCTGTTATAAATTATCAATGGAATTTGGTAAAAAAAAATTTTTTTTTTAAAAAAAAAAGGTATAAGTATGACCGTATTAATATAATAAAATACCTTAAATTTTCTATCATCCCATCTTTTCAGCCATTCTTTATCAGCTATTTTATTCCAGTGTTTTGCCTCTTCAAACATTGTAGCAAGTAAATTACGTTCTTTCAATAGAATATACCAGAGTTTATGTAGGTCTTCAAAAGATTTTACGCGCAATTCTGAAGCTGTCCATGATCGACCTTGTCACAACAGTAAATGCAAATTGGTTAAATGAAATTTTTTTAAAAAAAATGAATAAAGTTTTAAAAATTTTATTATATAAAGCATTTGTAATCTTTGCTAATGAAAA